CTTAATTATGTTTATTATATACAGAATTTTACAAAATTTATACTTAATTATATAAAAATATATATATAATTTAAATCGTTAATAAAAGTTTCCATATAAAATTCCGTACCAAGTGATGTGGAATTCGCCTTCAATTCCATATATTTATATACGGAATTTTATACAGAAATTACACAGATTTTATACAGATTTTATACAGAATTTATATGGAAAAAGTTTAGTATAATTCAAGATAATTTCAGTATATATTTTTACATAGGGGTTTTATTGAAATGATTTAATGTTAATTTTTCGACTACAAGTAAAAATAAATGTTATGTCTATAATAGGAAAATGAAATTCAATTATCTCGAGATCGCAAGAAATAATTAAAGCCATTTCTTCTTAAGCTCCTGCAAGAACTGGAATGGTATATTTTCTTTCATTATAGTTAAATTATTGTAATCCTTAAATTTAAAATTCAACACTAATCTTTTAATTTTAAATCCATAAGAATGGAGACAGGACATGGGAAAAAGTCGTTGTATGCATAGTTTCTGATGGTCGTAAAAAGATCAACCAAAGTGTTTTAACGTATTTATCCAAACTTGGTGTTTATAAGGAAGGAATTGCTGTCGATCATGTAGTTGGTCGTAAAGTTGAGGCTCATATCTTTAAACATACAATTCAAATTCGGGTTGAGGATAAAATCATTCCAATTCCAGTGATCTTTTGTCTCAAGGAAAAGAACACTAAAAAAATCAACTCTCATCGTTGGATTTTTAATGCGTTCAGCCCAGTACTTGATCTCAAAATATGCGTTCTAATTGATGTTGGCGTTAGCATTGATGTTACTGTTATTTAATTTATTGAATCCAAAAATATTCTTGCAAATCGATAATTGTAGGTCTAATATTTTTGTTAAATTTTAAATTGCCTAAAAGGAGAAAATGCTATTTATAACTTGTGGAATATATTTAGGTCACAACCAGAAGTCGCAGGTGCTTGTGGTGAAATAGTAGCCATGAAAGGTTGAGGTTGGCACAAATTAATGAGGCCAATTGTAAGTGCTCAGAATTTCGAATATAAAATGTTGTTCTTGGATATATTACTGTTTTACCTGGGGCTTTTTTGCATATTATTATGAGGCTCTTAAGAATGCAAAAGATGGAAATGGTAATGACGAAGAACCTCTGGTTTCCTACTTCAAGGACGAAACCCAAATAAAGTCAACTACTAAAGGTTTATTTGGTTCTATTAAAAGAAGCATTACTGATAATATGTATCTTGCTGAAGATCGTATACTTTGCTTTGAGCTGTTTACAAAACGCAATTCAAAATGGTCATTGTATTATGATAAGTCTTCTCAAGCTGAAACAGATGTGCCTGAAAAAATATCTGGATTTATTTCACAACGTAGATGTTGGCTAAATGGGACTTTCTTTGCTAGTCTTTACGTTATTTTTTATTTTAAAAATATATTTAGAAGTAAACATTCACTTTTACACAAATCCTTTTTTGTCATTCAAGTTTTCTACCAAGCAATTAGTCTTTTATTTTCATGGTTTGCATTGGTAAATTTTAAATTTATTAATTAACCATTTTAATTTAATTATTGATATTTATTAACACGATTTTTTTTTTTCCTAGAGAAATTTTTACTTAACATTTTATATTTTGTGTAATACACTTGCAAACCCTCAAAATTCTATTCCTCTTCCTTGGGGTTCATCAGTTAGTGAAAATATATTTATCATCTTAAGATACGTTTATTTTATATTAATTATTAAACAGTCTATTGTTTCTATAAGTAATAAACCTCAAAGGTAATATACTTTAAATACTTTAATATATTAATATACTAATACAATATTATAATATTAAAAAAAAAATTATTTTTCTTTTACAGTATTACTAAATGGGCCTACTACATTTCAATGTATGGTTTTGCTATTATTATGTTTTATACTTTTTTTGCTGGTTCTTGGCTTGCAATTAATGACATTATGTATATAATAATTCTGAATATTAAAGACAACAGAGCTATGGCTATTTTTCATAATGATACTTTTTGGGCTGTAGTTCTTCCTTTACTTTCAACAATAATTATGTATTTTATTGCAAGTCTTTTAACAGGAGACTTCTGGCATATGTTTCTATGTATTATACAACATATTTTTTGATTCCATTTTACATATATGTTTTAAATGTTTATGCTTTTTGTAATGTTCATGATATAAGGTAATGTGATATATAATTTGGGAAATAGAGAAACAGATGAAGTTAATCAATTAAATCAAATTATCTTATCCAATGGAAAAATGTCTCGAATTTCACTTTATCAGCAAGAAAATACAGATATGCAACAAAGAAATGAAAATGAGAATGAGCAGCAAAAAAATAAGGAAAATGATATAAAAATGATTGAAGAATCTCGAAAGGTGTTTCAAGCATATTTGTATTCTCTTGGCTTTTTACTAATGTTTTGTTAATATTTCTTGTAATCAGTTTTCTTGGCTCAACTTTAGAATATATAGCAGTAATTCTTTGGTCTGTCACCGGATTATCCGCCTTTAGATTTTTTGGTTGTATTGCATATGTTTTCATATATTTATTTATGCCATGGATTAAAAAAATAAAGGAAAATATACTCTTACTTGTAACACACCTGTAGTTAGCTAATAGTAGTTAGAGATAGGGTTTGGGTTACACGAATTTTTATTTATTTTATTATCCAAAAATAATTAAAATATATTATTAATTTACTGATCTCTTTTGTAATTATTTATTACAATACCTGGCTTGTCAATTTCTTTCTTAGTTTGTATCGTCTATTATATAAAGATCCAATATGTATAAAGCTTTAATTTTAAACATTAATCTCAGCTATAACTCCATTAAATTATATCTCAACCTGGGTTATATCCCTACTATTTAGCAAATAAATCTCCTAGAATTTGCCTTAGTTATATCTACCTAAGTTATATATTTAAAAACTCTTTAGGCAAAAGAATGATATAACTGAAGTTTGACTGTATAATAATTTGTTAAATTACACAGTAGATAAAATGACAATAACATTTCCTAAGCATTTTAAATGTTATCCGGTTTCATTTTAAATTAATTGATATCCGACGGATTATATTAGGACCGGGAAATCTATAAATATGGAAAATGTGGCCGACTTATCATAGATTCGAATTATTATAAAGTCTTGTGAAGTCCTCGACTTTATATAATTCTCAGAAAAAAAAGTCACTGCACCGGATCAGATTATATAGAATATAAAAAAGTCATCACTATTAGTTGATTTGATTAATTATAAAATCAAGTACAAGTCCGGTTAGAAAATCAACGAACGTAAAAATACGAGCAAGGTCAAGCAAAGCTCCGAAAAATGATTCGCTTTATTATTAATTTTTAAGGTGTCCGCAAAACTGATTCACCTAATTATAAAAAAAGACTGATTCACCTAATTATAAAAAAAGACTGATTCACCTAATTATAAAAAAAGCCTGATTCGCAAAACATACTAAATAAATTTTTTATGACGGGTCCTATAACAAAGATTCCCCGGTCCTATTATATTAAAGATTTAATACAATACTATATTTAGATAATAGAATAAGATATTTTTTGTTAATATTTTACAGAACAAAAAAATTATTTATAGATTTTGATAAAACTACCAATTGTTAATATTTTAATTATTTTGTCAGCTTCCAAAATTATCATTAATTTGTTAATACCAATTTCATAAAACATGTAATACTAGTCAAAATCAGTTTGCAAAATTTAATGTTTTCAATGTTCTCCGAGAACACTAATTAAATTTTAAGAAAATAATTTATTAAAATATGTTCCTTCTGAAAACATTAAATAGACTTTTTTTAATATTATACAATTTTAATTTTTTATATTGAGAATATTAAAATGTTCTCAGTAAGAAAATTGATTTTCATATACTGGCCAAAATTTTCAAAAATAAATCAAAGTATGAATACCATTAGTTAATTTTTCAAAGTATAAAAGGATTTGTAAGATCTAGAAAAGCACTTCTATAATCCGACAAAGCTGATACAGCTGAAATAAGATAATTCATGTTTTCTAATTATCTTCAATATCATCAGGAAGTTCAAGCCCTTCAATAGATTTAGTAATAAATTTTAAATTTTGTGTAATTTTACTTGTATTTATGAGTTTGCTGGTGTACATTTCAGTGGGATGTATGAATTCAAATTTCTCCGGTTTATTCTTGTCAGATTCTAAAAATTGATGTTTTATTTCTTCATCCAATGAATTCTTCTCATCTGAATTTAATATTTTTTGCCACTTTTCAATTTCATTATAAATATATGTTGCATTTGGTCGTTTTTGTGGATCAATATCCATGCATTGCTTTGCTAATTCAACGTAACATTTAGGTGTTCCAGAAGCGAATTCGGGTCTTTTTCCAGAACAGATTCTTACAGCAAGATCAATATTAAATGGTTCACTGTCGAATGCCCTTCTTCCTGATGATACTTCAATCATGATGACCCCGAATCCATAGATGTCAGCTGCTTCTGTGAACGGATTTCCTTGCAAGACTTCAGGAGCTATATAAGGTAATACACCGTAAATTTCAATAGTATCTTTCTTGTTATCTTGTTCGTCGTCATCATCGGAAGAACAATAAACATCAATGAGTCCTAAATCGGAAATATATCCTTTATCTAATGAATCTAATAAAATATTTCCGCTGTGCAAGTCTCGATGAATAAGCTCTTCATCATGAAGACTTTTGAGACTTGATACGATTCCAAATAATAAATTCAATTTATATTTCCATTCTAACTGTGATATATCATGAAGTTTATTATTCAACGATCCCTCTGGTGCATACTGCATAACGAGAGCATAATTTCCAAATACATTTTTTGATACACCGTGATATTTTATAAAATTGGTATTATCTTTAAGAAGATTAATTGATAAAGCAAATTCCACAAGAAAGCTTGGAGATGAATCTTTAATGACTTTAAGTATGACTTGCTCACTTTTCCATTCAGCGAGATATACATTAGAGAATCCTCCCTCTCCTATTTTTTTAAAATTTTTAAATTCATCATTTGGTATCCAATTTTTTATAGTCGCAAGATCTTTAAATTCTTCAAAACCCGTATCCGAATTTGTGATCAATTCATAATGATAACATACATTATTATCAATATCGTTATTATCGATATCATTTTGAACCCTTGCTAAAATATTCATAAAATAATTAAAATCAATCTCACCCCCCTCAACCAATAATTTTCCAAGCCAGTGACCCATATTAGCAGCCTTTTGGAAATATTCTAATGCTTTGTTTTCATTTACATCGACACCAATTCCCTTACGATAACACAAACCAACTTGAAAAATTCCTTCTGGTTCAAACATATCGGCAGCTTTTCGGTAATACTCGAATGCTCTGTTTATCTTTATTAACACCAAATCCAACTTCATAATAAGTCCCAAGGTAAACGATGCCACTTGCATAATTCATCTCTGCACATTTCTGAATATACTCAAAAGCTAGTTTCTCATCTTTTTCGACTCCATCTCCTTTTTGATAACTCTTTCCAAGTTTAAAAAATTCTTGAGCATTCATGTTAAAAATAAAAAACAATCATCAATTTTTTTATATTTAAACGGAAATGATTCCGATACAGTTACACACCTGCAAATTTTGGATTCCTAAGAAGTCAAATTACGTTATTGAACTTTGTTACACGCAAATCAGTTTTATATATCACGTTATTATGTACACTTAGATTATGTTACAAGTTTATAAACATTTGTCAATAATCACGTTTTGATCAGCATAAATTAGCCAATCATGTAAATGTCTTCCTACGAAATTAGAAACATATAGCCATTCCATAGAATAGAATCTCTTCTGGGTATAGCAGCAATAATACTTTGTGGATAATAGGTTTATAATGTAGTTGTTATAGTTGTCATATATCTTGGTAATGGCTTACATAAGCTTTAACCATATGCTGTCGCAATTATCAGGAACTATTAGCAATGTCATTTGTGAATGTATGTTAATTAATTTTCCAGTAAAAGTTGTCTTGATATAATTTAGAGAGTTAACAGAAAATTTTAATTTTGATGCAAGAATTCAAAGATTATATTTTGACAAAAGTAAATGTTAAACACAATTCAACATGGCAATAATCTGTATTTGCGCTAATAAACGTTGCATTTAAATAGAGTCTATATCAGTCAGCGCTAACTATAAATCAATCTTAACTTAAACGGCTAATTTTGTCGACAAAACAGTTGTCAACGAAATTGGGTTATATCTTTTTTTCTCTGAGGTACATAAATACATGAAGTTATATAACAATTACTGAATTATTGTAACATGGAAATAATAGTTATAATGCTCCCAATTTAATAACTTCCTTTGCTTGATTTAATAATCTAAATACCAATTTAATAAGAAATAAATTTGTTTAATTATAAGTGAATCAAATATCACTTACCATCGGGAACTTTAACATAATTAATGAGCTGACTGAGTAGACTTGCTAAAAAATATATATCATATAAATATACAATACTAAAAATATAGTTTAAATCCAATTTAAGTAAATAATTACATTACCTGCATTTCCTACATTGACAGTTTCAGAAATGTTTACAATTAATAACATATTACTAACTTTTAAAAAAATGGTATTACTTGGTTTAGGAAGTTTTGAAAGATTCAAAAATCGACTTGTATAAATAGCTTGTGGATGAGTCTGATATTTGAATTGTGCCGATTTGGCTTGATTATATGTTAAGAATTTTTTGTCTGAGTCTTTAATATTTTTAACTTGCTTATATAATTCACTGTGTTCACGTTCCAAATCATAAAAAAATCGATACAATGCTTTAGCTAATTCTTCGGCTACTGGTCGGTTTTGAGGTTCTGCGTCAATGCATTTATTCATCAGATCCAAAAGTAGTTGAGGAACTTCGCATCTGATTTCAGGTCTATAACCTAGACAAATACG